GCTCAGCTCAGCCCTGGGGGCGGGCAGGGGCAGCACCCCGGACACGGCTGGAGCCAGCTGGAGCCCAGTTACCCAGACCATGCTTGGCCGCGGTGCCTGCCTGTGCCGGGGTGCCTGCGGGCTGCTGGGGCGCATCTCCTTGGCCATGCTGTCCTCCCATGCCGGGGTGTCCCCAGGCTGCCGGGATGCCTGTGTGGCAGCCCGTGACCCTGCCGCCCGCAGACCTGGACCTGACGGTGCGCGTCCTGCTGTATGCACTGATCTTTGTGCTGAGTGTCTGCGGGAACGCCCTGGTCGTGGCCGTGCTGCTCCTGAACCGCCGCCTGCGCACCGTCACCAACTCCTTCCTGCTCTCCCTGGCGCTCAGCGACCTGATGCTGGCACTCTGCTGCATGCCCTTCACGCTCGTCCCCAACCTCATGGGCACCTTCATCTTCGGAGAGGCTGTCTGCAAGCTCATGGCCTACCTCATGGGTACGAGGGGGCGGCGGGCAGGGGCTGGGGGAGGGCCAAGCCGCGCCGTGCCACGCCATGCCGCGGGCGCTGACCCTCGCTGCCCGCAGGCATCTCCGTCTCAGTCTCCACCTTCAGCCTGGTGGCCATCGCCATCGAGCGGTACAGTGCCATCTGCAACCCACTGCAGTCCCGCGTCTGGCAGACCCGCTCGCACGCCTGCCGGGTCATCGCCAGCACCTGGCTCTTCTCAGCGCTGCTCATGCTGCCCTACGCCGTCTACAGCACCACGCGTGCTTTGTGGCCCCCGCCCGCCTGTCAGCCAGTGCACCCATGACTGGCCCAGTGAGCATGTCCGGCAGGCCTGGTGAGTTGGCCCCGGGACCCCCGCCCGCCCCTGGGACCCCAGCACAAGGGGGGACACGGTCCAGCTGCTGGCCCCGCTGCTGTGGCCAGGCTGGCAAGGGGCTGCCGAGCGATGGGTGCTGCATCTTGCAGGTACGTCCTGCTGCTCCTCGTCCTCTTCTTCATCCCGGGTGTGGTGATGATTGTGGCTTACGGGCTCATCTCCCGCGAGCTCTACCGAGGCATCCGCTTCGAGCTGGACATCAAGGGGGAGACTGCAGGTGAGGGGCCCGGCTCATGCAGGGCAGGGCTGGGGACACCACTCGGCCCTGTCCTCGCCTCCCGCAGCGTGACCCCCGCACGGGCAGAGTCCCCTGCCCTGCGACAGGTGGGAGGGCTGAGCCCCCACCCTGGGTCCTCACAGCTGGGGGGTTCCCTGGGGACCCCTCCCTGTGCAGGGGCCTGTGCCGCGTCCTGTCCCAACACCCTGCTACGTCCCAACAGAGGATGCACTCATGGCCTCAGGGTGATGTGGGTCCTTGCGGTGCCACGGCCGTGACCGCATCCCCTCTGCCCCACAGCTCAGCGCAATGGCAGTGGGGAGCCGGCACCTGCCTGCGACGAGGGGGACGGCTGCTACCTGCAGCTCTCCCGGCCGGGTGGCGCGCTGGAGCTGCGGGCGCTGGGCGCGGCAGGCGCTCAGCAGGACCGGGCACGCATCAACAGCTCGGAGGCAAAGCTGGTGGCCAAGCGGCGCGTGATCCGCATGCTGGTGGTCATCGTGGCCCGCGGCCGGCGCCCTGTCGGCCCCGCCAACACGTGGCGTGCCTTTGCCCCGCGGGCAGCCCAGCGGGCGCTCTCGGGGACGCCCATCTCCTTCATCCACCTCCTCTCCTACACCTCTGCCTGCGCCAACCCCCTCATCTACTGCTTCATGAACCGCCGCTTCCGGAAAGCA